CTTGTGCTTACTTCCTTGCGTACGGATGACACCTGCGTATGAATTAATTTATTTTCTGGTGCTTTCACTTCCAGAGACACTTGTTAGCACTGTGTAACTGCCTCGAGGGTGCTTGACCATTTAAACACAACGTGGTGCGATCATCCCCCTTGCGCGGAGTGAGGATGCTCGACCCCGCACAACATGATATACTCGACCACCATTATGGTTACCGCCAAAAAAACAGAGGTAAAAGAAGAAAACGGTAACCTGGTTGCTGAGTTCACGAAGTGAATTGGCTTGTTTTACAGCATCGTTGCCAAGGGACGAAAACCCTACCCCGATGGCAAACATCGGGGCCGGGGCGGGGGGGGGATCTGTGTTTCGTGTCGGGAGAGACGGTCGTTTCTACATCTGCGTTTGGACAACACTGCTGCCGCTACGTGTAGCTGTTGTCTCCGGCTGAGCGGCGTTTCCTCACAACAAAGGTACCGTAAATGACACAATATAAGACACCTACACAATATAAGAAACCCCCCACAGAGTATACCANTGGACAACACTGCTGCCGCTACGTGTAGCTGTTGTCTCCGGCTGAGCGGCGTTTCCTCACAACAAAGGTACCGTAAATGACACAATATAAGACACCTACACAATATAAGAAACCCCCCACAGAGTATACCACACCCCGGTGGTAATTTTGGGCGTCTCTGACAGACCATCGAATTATCACCGGGGGTACACAATATAAGAAACCCCGGTGATATTTGTAGTTGCGCCGCATGCATTCGCGGGCCCCCTCCTTCTTTTATGACCCGGGGTGACAGCATCTGCCCTTGCGCATCATCACACCACACACACAGCTGTGTGCGGAGGAACACCCCGCATGCAGACCCCAAAGAACATGAACATGCAGGCAGAGCAGAGTGTAGCCGGCACTACCGGTAGTACCCCCGCTCCTTCGACCGCTGCTTCGGCAACTGCTTCGACTGTAGCAGCACAGGCGCCACAGCAGATGACCTTCTTTGGGCCCGCGCACTCTTCTTCTACGAGAGAGGCTCCTCCTGCCGGCACTCTTGCTCCTGCTGCTGCTGTTGATCTAACAGCAGCAGAAGGAGCTGGAGCAGCAACAGGCGCAAACATGACAGCCTCTGCATCGCCTCAGCAGCAGCCAGTTGCTGGCTTGATGTCAGCAGCGCGTTCGAGCACCGAAGCCGACGAATCAACGCGCAGCAGCCAAGCATCTCAGTTGGTGGACGTGGTGGACGAGGAGCCCACCACTTCCGCTGGGACGGAAGAAAGATCCAAGTGAGTGTGCATGGTTTGTGCTTCGTGGATTTGGCGTACCGTAGTATCAGTCCGCGTGTGGTCTCGAAACGTGCAATTGTGGGTTAGCCTTTACGCCAACCCAGGGTTCGTGTGGCTGTAGTGGACGTGGTGGACGAGGAGCCCACCACTTCCGCTGGGACGGAAGAAAGATCCAAGTGAGTGTGCATGGTTTTTGTGCTTCGTGGATTTGGCGTACCTTGTCGACATGTTCGTCATGTGTGCACACAGACGGCGCCGGCCGACTGGCGCCAGCAGTCTACGGAACACGTCGCGTCCATGGACAGCATGGGGTATAATAACGCGCTGCATCACTTGGAAGGCACCGGCTCAAAGTTTGCGAAGGAGACGCGTGTTCGCTTGCGAGAGTTGGAAGCCAAGGTCAGCACAGCGGTCTCGCTGGAGCGAGCCCTCGAGCGAGCGCAAAGGCAACCTAGAACCAATGAAGGTTGCCGCATGTTCCAAACGATCCCTACCGCTTCGTCGTTTCCCGTGGACGACGTAGACGGAGCTCCATCGGTATCAGCAAGACGTAGGGCAGCGGCACTGGGGGTTCGCGAGCAAGCCCTCAACTTTGCGGCGGAGCGTGCCAAGAAATTGACGTCCGATCTCCAACCGACCGAGGCGAAAGAGCGCGGTGTCTACTGGTTTTGGCCCCGAGCTAAGCAAAGCAATGCCGCCAGCGAAGAGCTACTGGAGTTAATGAGACAGCACTGGCACACGGACGAAGTGTCACGTCAGCTGGCAACTCAGCTGAGCGCGACATGTAGAAGGAGAGCAAGTCTCCGACAGCTCACCGCCACCCTCGGCGGCATCTTACGGAGCCGGGTGGGGGCGAGGCGGTGTACGCCAAGTTCCTCAAGTGGGCGTCCTATGAGAGCTTCAAGGAACGTCCGAGCGACAACTTCACGGACCCTGGCCGTACGCTCTTCCTCTCGACGCGTTGCAAGTGCCTGGTCCTCCCTGCAATGGAGCAGTGCGCGTGCAAGATCCACTCGCAGCAGGTGCTATACATCGAGGCGCTAGCCAATGTCGACATGACCAGCCACGGGGAATGTGGTTGTCGATGATGCAACGTAGATGGCGGCCGCAGGTGGCGGGAAACGTGGAAGCATTTGGGCACTTTCTCCGATGCGATTGCCTGCCCCAAGGTCAACTTGCGGGCAGCGGACCCAGAGGGTGACAGTTGGATGGGGCGGAAACCGAAGTGCAACACTTTGGACTGCGCTATGTGTGGGTTAGGGGGGACTGACGGCATTCTCATCTGCAGCAAGCTGGAGACCTCCGAGTAGACGGTGGTGAGGAAGATGTTCGAGGACGTGATCACTGTGCTTGCATCAGCGGATGGGGAGATCAAGGCCAAGAAGCTCGCCAACCAGACCGTGCCCAAGGAGGGCAAGCTTTGCTATCTTTGGTCGGCTTTCAAAGAGCACACCAAGCTGTACATGGCTCACCACTCTATCGCCAAGTGGCAAGGCCACTCCCACGGGCGTTGCTTGGAGACGTTTCAGGACGGTGACCTTGTCATCGAGACCGACTTTGCCGAGAAGTATACTCACCAATCCTTCATCAGCATGATGATACCTGTTTACCCATAGACAACGCTCATGGTGGCCATCGTCCACTTCAACCCGCAGACACACGTGGGGGGTGGCAGGGTGCACGTGACGGAAACATGGATCTTTGCATCTGAGGACATGGCACATGACTGCGATTTCCACCTGCACNGGCCACTCCCACGGGCGTTGCTTGGAGACGTTTCAGGACGGTGACCTTGTCATCGAGACCGACTTTGCCGAGAAGTATACTCACCAATCCTTCATCAGCATGATGATACCTGTTTACCCATAGACAACGCTCATGGTGGCCATCGTCCACTTCAACCCGCAGACACACGTGGGGGGTGGCAGGGTGCACGTGACGGAAACATGGATCTTTGCATCTGAGGACATGGCACATGACTGCGATTTCCACCTGCACGGCTTGGCCAGGATGGCGGACCACTACCTGCGTGGAGATGGGANGCCCGGAAAGAAGGCAGGACGCCTCGGATTCTCATGTGTACCGATGGGTGTGGGAGGCAGTACAAGGGAAGGCGGAATCTCCGCTTTTCGGCCGACAGCGTCCGGAAAATTGGCTTCTTCATCGACCACCACTTCGCGGCCACATCTCACTTCAAAGGTTGTCATGATGGGATCGGCGGAGTCGCAAAGAGCGCCATGAAGAGGAGGGAGAGATTTGGCAAGCGAATCATGGGGGCGGAAGGGGTGGTCAGCTTTTTGCGAAGCTTCTTTCGGGAGTAGGCAGGCAGCGAGGGGGAGGAGGGTATGCGGAGGTACTTCGCGAAGTGGTCTCCGTACCGCGTGCAGAGGGTACACGTCGAGCTTATCGGTAAGGAGATCTATCGGCCAAACTCGATCTTGAAAGGCGTAGAGGGTACACGAGAGATGTACCACTTTGCGGGAGCAAACACTCCCAAGTGGGATGAGTCCACCTCAACCAAGGGACGCGAAGATGACTGTAAGCTCGTGCTGAAGAGCGAGGGGCAGGGGCAGTTGTCGAGTCTAGAGAAGACCCGGTTGCGGGAAGGCAAGGTGTTGGATGCAGTAGCGAGCAGATGGAAGGGTGAGGGGGCTAAGTTGCAGGATCCGATATCGGGGGAGGAAGACATGACTTGCAGGAAGGTGAAACGGACGTGCAGTCTCAGGACTCGTTTGGCGTCGTGCTTCTGCTCGGTGTGCCGGCGTTCTGAGTATGAGCAGTGCTACGTTAGCAAGACGTTCCCCCGCCTCGTTCCCGTAATGGAGGATGGCGTAGTGAAGGAAACGGTGATCATGGGCACTGGAGTAGCGCCCGTAGACGAAGATGCCTCCGAGGGGATCAAGTTCCCGCGATACAAGAAGGAATGCAAAAAGAAGAGAACAACTGGGACACAGTGGCAGGACGGCGGCTCTGCTACTGCATCAAAGATTTGGGAAGAGCTTGGAAGGAAGGAAGAGCCCAGTACTTTTTCCAGTTTCGGGAGGTGGGCTGATATTTATGTGACATGCTTCTTGTATTTGCTCGTGGAGCAGTGTTGGGCTTCAGAGCCCGTTTGAGGTCGAACTTAAGGGTGTGTGGGGGGGGGTTCCCGAGAGGATGTGTAACATATCTTGAAATATTCTTGATTTTCTTGACAAGGCGATGCTGTTCAATGCCTTCCTGTATCTCAAAGGCAAAACCGAATTGAAAAATAACGACCGCGGATTCGTAATCCCCACCCAATAGTTACCCTATCCTGATATTCTCAGATCAATCTGACCACTTTTCAAAACCGGGGATGTTTCAGGCCCATCCCCGGGTTTTTGCGTTTTGCGAATTTCCTGTGGGAAAAAGGGGAAGTGAGTTGAAACCCGGTCGAAAATAGTACTAAAAAAAAACAATCCACCATTTACGTGCCCTGGGTAGTGTGTCATTAAAATTTCAGATCTTGGCCGGGGATGGTTCATCACTATCCCCCCCCCGCAAAAAGTATATGCTCATCAGTTGCGGATGGCGCCTATGGTATGACACGGTGTACCCTTTTTTGCAGGTTGGCGCGCTTCGCACAAGCCGGTTGGGGGGCAGGTTGCCGGTAGCAGTGCAAGGTGTACCCTTTCTTGCAGGTTGACGCGTTGCGCACAAGCCGGTGAGGGGGGCAGGTTGCCGATGGTATTGCAATGCGTACCCCTTGTTATAGCCTGCTGCGTACGATGCGGCCGGTCTACAACAAACTACAGTGCTCAACACTGTAGTAAGTGGCGGGTTCGATTCCCCTACACTACTTTTTTTTTGTTCATGTTTCATTTGTTTCGCCCCTGTATTTGAGTTACTATAATTTTAACGTCAGTACATTCAAGAGGAAACTTCTGAAACAACGACATCCCGTGCCCATGCATCATGCACATTTCCAGTAGCTCTAGCTTTCTCCGCCCGCGGCTTATCATCTCTACCCAGGGTCGTCAACATCCATCCCAAGTTGCACGATTACATGTAATAAGCGAGAACCATAAAAGGTACTTCAAATTGAAACAATACATACATACCCTTCCGAACGTCGTTCTGTATGTATATTGAATGTCCCCCCACAACAGCATGCCTTCGCCCATGACCGTCAGCGACGTCGATCATGGAGACGACCCACAACCCCCGCAACAAACTACCTTTATTTGTTGTGAGGAAACACCACTCAGCCGGAGACAACAGCTAGCTACACGTAGCGGCAGCAGTGTTGTCCAAAAGCATCGGTAGAAACCTCCTTCTCTCCCGACACAAAACACAGAACCCCCCCCCCGCCCCAGCCGTCCCAAATTCTACAACTCTAGCCAAGAAATAACGACACTGCCTGAGACGGAGCCTGCTGCGACAGCGGTGTCCTCCAAAAGCAATGCAGAGACTGCAGAAACAGACCTCGTTACGTTCCCAACACAATCGAAACAACTCCCCCCTCCCCTCCGCCAAAAGCCACAACTCGCACAGACAACAAACGGCGCGGACGGAGCCAAGGGCAGCAGCGACAGATTCCAAACGCCTTGACACACACAGTAAGAAAACACCTGGCTCTCCTCCCGCGCCAGGCGCCCTCATGCACCAGCGAGAGCAACAACTATATCATAGCACCATATGAAAAAAAAAAATACTGTGAGACATGGCAAGCGGGATATTTCTCCGCCTCCTCCGTCAAAGCTTGGACCCGTTGTGAACGCCATGAGGACCCGAGAAAACGCTTTGAACGATGTTGCAGCGGAGATCCCGGCGACTCGACCTGGAGGTTACCGATCAGCAGCGAAATAATACTGAAGTGTGAGAGGAGGGTAATAAAAGTGTTCCGTCGAGGAATGGAGGGCATGTTCTCCCCCTTTGCAGCAGTATAGTTCTTGGTGTAGCTGACAGATGTACATTGTCAACAATATAATACTTGCAAGCAGGCGTGGGGGGGGGGGGGG